TTAAGTGTTTTTTATATATTTAAAATTTATATAAAAAAATTCTATTATATAAAATTATCGTCTGATATTTATATTTTTTATATGAACACGGTCATTCGGCGGTCATTCGACTGTCAATAAATCGATTAACACTTCAGAAAAACAAGGCCCCTTGGATAAGAAATCCTTGTATACAACATTTTATACTATAAATAAGTAATATGTGTTTCAACTCGGATTAATTTAACTTCAAATTTGCTAATTTTCCTCACATAACGTTCCAAAAATATATATTTTATTTTTGGAAGATTCTTAAAAATGAGAATTAACTTTTAATTTTTTTAAACGTGTCAAAATAGCTAAACTTTATTGGTTTTTTTAAAAAGAAATGATTCCGATAAAAAAAAATTTAACCAAAATACGTCACCATATATTTTGCTTACTGGAAATAGTAAATTTTGAATCAAAAAATTTTTAATTAAAATTAAAATGAAAAATCCAGGAAATTTCAAAAATTTCCTTAAAATATATAAATGATAAATATATATATATATATATATATATATATATATATATATATATATATATATATATATATATTTAATGTTTTTTATTTTATATTTATTTGATTTTTACATATTTATCAATTTAGTTAATTCATTGCCTTTTTTTTTATCAATTTCTTAAATCAAATTTAAATTTTTAAAATAGTATTTTCTATCTTAGAAAATAAACTAACAGGAAATAAAACATTTAGAGAGAAGATATCAAAAAAATAAAGATGAATGAAAAAAAAAATTAATTCAAAATTAAAATCAAAGACATCGAACCCGAAGAACATTGGATTTTGCAAAATCATTGTTGCATACTGAATATTATTTAACTACTTATATTACTGAACTTATTGTCCTTATCTTTGTTATTTTTCTCAATAAATATTTTAATCAGAAATTATAAAACCTCATTTATATATAAAATTTTGGACTTGGCTGCAAAAACTTCTGAACTGAATCCTTTATTTAAAAATTCAAAATAAAATTTGTTTAGAAATTGCCAGATTAATTATACTATAAAAACAAACTAATTTTTCTTAAATTATATTTCGCAAAAATAATTTTATTTTTATTGATATTTTTATTTTAATATTATAAATAGAATTTCATTACATCGATGAATGAAGGCTAAAAAAATCGCTGAATATTATTTTTTTTAACAAAAATATCAAAATATCAATTTAAATTATTTTTGAAATAGGAAAATTTTTTTTATTTCATAAATATTAAATTTAATTTATTTGTATATTTATAAAACTAAAAAATAAAATTCAAGGAAATTTTTATATTTAAATCCATTTTCAACCTTTACACATATATATAATCTGTATTTCAAAGAAAAATAATAAATTTGTCTCAATAATGAGTTACCTTAATTCCCTATGTAAAATAATATCATCCATAATAAAATTTCACACCTAAAATTGTTTTGAAATAAATGGGAAAATTAATCCATTTTTAAATATATTATAAATCAAAAAGAGTTTGTAATCAAATTTATAAAGTATTATATATATATTTATTATATATATATTTTATCTTTAAAAATAATGTCAACATAGAATGAAATATTTTATAAAAAATAAAATGAATATGTTTGATAAATATTTTCATATATATTGTAGTTCTATATAAAAAAAAAAATTATGTAAGTTTTTTAATCTAAAATTTACTTAATTGGTACATTAGATTACGGAAAATATTTTTCTTAATTTTTTTTTTATATTGATTGTTTTTGAATTAAAAATGACAAAAAAAAATCATTAATTATATTTTCATTTATTTTTTACAGATAAAATAACAATAGAAAAACATTAGATAAACATTCATCTTTCATAAAATGTCAACATAAAAAAGTTATATTAAATAAAAAGATACCGCCCATGGTTAAAAAATAATTTATGCACATAAAATTAAACTCAAAATAAATAAATGTTTGAAATCATAGATTAAATGAAAAAAATTAGAAAATATTTTTTTAAATAAATTTTTTATCCTTCAGTACGTTTAATTTTTTTTTTTATAAAGAGAAATTAATATTATGAATAAAAATTTAAAAATGTCCCTATAAGTTTTTTTTTTTATTTTAAAATCATCTAATTGCGTCATTTTAAATTACTTTTTTGAAATATTGTAAAATATTTTTATATATATTTATAATATTAAATTTAATTATAGTATTTATATTAAAACTAAAATAAAAGTTTCAAAAAAGATTTAAAATAAAAGCCTAAAAGAAATAAATTAATATATTGGCAGGTTGAGCCTTCTTTTAATTCAAAAGTGTATATCGATCTTACATACGTTGATAAAAATTCTGAACTGAACCCTTTGATTTAATCTACGGGTTTACTGTTCTCATTTCATTGTTCATGTTCTATATATTTCGATATTTCTTTTTTTTTTATATATAAAGGCATTTTGAGTTAAGATCAAAAAAAATTCCAACTACTGTGTCAATGAAAATTCAAATCAAGATTTTTTTCCACTTTTTTTTTAATCTATATGACAATTAAACCTGCATCTGATTAGATTTACGAATAGCTTATTTTTTTTTTTTTTATTTGTTGCTGTTAGATGAAAATTTGCGATAACAAAACAAAGATGAAAATAGTCTGAATATAAAAAAAATAAATATTTAAAACATATATTTATCTTCAAAAAGAATTAAAAAAAATATATATATATTCATTCCTAATGATGATGAAATAATTTATAGTTTAAAACATTTTGACCTTAACGTCATATTTTTTTATGGGGAAATATTTTTTTTAAATATGTATATATTTTTATATATATATATATATATATATATATATATATATATATATATATTTAAATTAAAATTGAAAAAATAAATGGCAAATCAAAAAATTGTAAATTATTTATATTTTTCGAAATCTACTAAGATTTGTCATATGTTTTTTCGTAATTTTTTTTTACTTTTGTTTTAATATTCAAAAAAATATAATTTTAGTTCAATTTAACCTATATAAAATAAGATGATGGACATAAAAAAAAGTCTTTATAAAATATATATTAATATAAAATTTTTATAAAATCATAAGAATTTAATGTTTAATTTGATCACAAAATGTCGTCACATGGGCGAAATATTTTTAAAAAAAACCTTTTAATTTAACAATTTTTTTAGATTTATTATATCTCCCACAAGCATACAAAAAAAATTTAGATCCTTATATAATTTTTTTATTTTTTTTTTTAATTCAAAATAATCAAAAATTTTTTTAAAATTGCAATTTGAAAAAAATTAGATGTGAATAAATTGACCCTTTTTGAAACGGAAAAGATTTTCATTTTAAAATTTTTCAAATTATCTGTTTTTAAAGATAAGACTTGTTTTTATAAGTGAAATCGTCTTTTGTTAAATTGAACTGAATTGTATTTTTTTGAATATTGTCCTTGAAGAAAGGAAATTAAACCGAAAATTCAAGACGTCGAATTTTTCATTCATTTTAAAAAAAGGAAATTGCATTTAAGGAAATTTTGTTTTTTTTTTTAAAATTTTTTTCATTCTGTAAGGATCTATATCCATTTATATTTTTATACATATATATATATATATATATATATATATATATATATATATATATATATATATATATATATATATATATATATAAGACGATGAATGTCTATTATGGAATGAAATATTTTAAAAATATTTAAAAAATATAAAAAGTCGTTTGTTTTTTTTTAATTTCAATTAAAAAAAAAAAATTGTCCAACATTTGGATATTTTCTATTAACTTTGTATAATTAAATGAGTGGCCAGTACATGAGCCATCTTCAGAGAGGTTATATTATAAATTTAAGAAAGATATTCACCATCAAAGATAATATTTTTTATGTTGATATAAAAATAAATTGCTATGCAACGTTAAAGGTCGCGGAATAGTAAAATAAATTTGTAAACGCTTAAAGATGCGGTTCTACGACGTCATACCAAGATATATTATATGAAATATTAAAACATTTATATGTCTATATGCAATATAATGTTTGATTTGTATATTGAAATATAATTTTATTGGGTTGTATATATATATATATATATATATATATATATATATATATATATATATATACACGTTTCATTAAATAATATAGACAAGTGTTGTCTATTTATTTTATGTAATTTTTTTTCGTAACGTCTGATAAGTTTAATAACATTATCGTTGAACGAAGAAAGAAATTCACAATATTGATCCATATTTTTTTAATACAATCTAAGCTTTTGGCTTACATAAGCCATTATCAAAGATGTCAATGACAACATATTAAACAATATACGGACAAGACAGTAATGATAGTCTCTCATTGTTTACATAGATGATTTCTAAGCAACGATAAACACGTGCATATAAGACGCTAGAAGCGAAAATCGAACCGGATCTCATGACGTCACACATGACCACACGAGAGTGAATTGGAGAAGTATGAAGTATGGAAATCCGTTGGTATAAACCAATGGCTTCTGTTACCAATTATAGACATTTAAGAATATTTGTAGAGATGCCATAATTGATTTTGTTTAGGTTGGGTTTCAACTGTTTGATGTATAATGCTTCAAGAATTTTTAGTTTGTCTATTGTTTTCATGTCGAAGTATAATTATGTTTTCGACAATTATTTTTTTGGAATTGTGTGTATATATAGGCATGTTGTTTTAAATGCCTAAAAATGTTAGATTTTTTCATTAAAATGTAGTGTCAAGCGTCGTGAAAGCGAGTTTGTGGTGTGACCAACATAAATATTATTTAATTCGTTGGAGACTATAATATATATATTATCAGTTGAGGTAAAAAAAAAAGGATGTAAGACAAAAGCAAAGAAAAGTAAAATTTATGATACAGAAGCAAAAGAGAAAAAGAAAAAACTTAAAAAAATAAATTTGGGGGAATATAAATAAATAAAGAAAAATTAAAACATGGTAAGAAAGAGAGAGTTAACGCAGAAAAAAGAAAGAAACGTATGACAAAATCAAGAGAGTGGAGAAAAATGGGTAAAAATGAGAAAGAGAAAAGGAAGAAACAACGAAAGAAAGAAGAATATCATACCATTGTCGAATAAAAAAAGGAAAAGCTAGAAGGAAAGAAGAGAAAAATTGAAAAAAAAAAGAAAAAAAGAAATAAGACATTTAGATTAAAAAGAACAGAAAGGACTGGTTTAGACGTTATATAAAAAAAAATTATGAATATGAAATATAAACAAAATATTATTAGAAAGAAAGAAAGAAAAAAAAAAAAATAAAAGAAATTTCCAAAAGAAAAAGCTATTTTAATGAAAAAAAAGCAACAGAAGGACTTGTTTAGAAAAATAGAGAAAAAAAAAAACAAAAAAAAGAAAGAAAGAAATAAAGAAAGAAAATGGTTAAAGAAAGAAAAAAAATGGGCAATATGATAAAAAGAAACAGAAGGACTGGTTTAGAAGTATTAAAAAAAGAAAACATGAGATAGGAAAAAAAACAAAGAAAAATAAAGAAAGAAAGAAAGAAAGAAAGAAAAAAAAAAGAAAAAGAAATAAAGAAAAGCAAGAAAAAAAGACAGCAATATGATAAAAAAGGAGAAGGAATTAATTTGAAAAAAAAAGAAAACATGAGATAGAAATAAAAAAAAACAAAGAAAGAAAAAAAGAAAGAAAGAAAGAAAAGAAAGAAAGAAAAAAAATAAATAAAGCAAGAAAAAAAGACAACATATGATAAAAAAGCAACAGAAGGACTGGTTTTATAATAAAAAAACATGAGATAGAAGTATAAAAAAAGAAAGAAAATAAAGAAAGAAAGAAAAAAAAAATTTAGAAATAAAAAAAATAAAGAAAGCAAAAAAAAAAAGACAGACATAAATACAAAAGCAAAGAAGGACTGGTTTAGTTAAAAAAAAAAAAAATGAGATAGCAAGTATAAAAAAAGAAATTCTAGAAAAAAAAGAAAGAAAAAAAAATTTTGAAAAAAAAAAAAAAAAAAAGAAAGAAAAAAAAAGAAGACATATGATATTGTTAAATTTTTGAAGGACTGGTTTAAATAAAAAAAAAAAAACATGAGATAGCAAGGTAAAAAAAGAAATAAAGAAAAGAAAAAAAAAAAAAGAAATTTGAAGGAAAAAATAAAAAAGCAAGAAAGAAAAAGACATAATGATATCTAGCAACAGAAGGACTTTTTTAGAAGTAGAGAAAAAAAAAAACATGCAAGATAAATAAAAATAAACAAAAAGAAAAAAGAAAGAAAGAAAGGAAAAAAGAAATGGAGAAATAAAAAAGAAAAATTTTTTTTTCAATATGATAATAAAAAATCTAAAGGACTGGTTTAAAAGTAGAAAAAAAAAATGAGATATTTTAAGTATAAACAAAATATTAAAAGAAATAAAGAAAGAAAGAAAAAAGAAAAGAAAAAAAAAAAAACAAGAAAGAAAGACAGACATATGATAAAAAAGCAACAAAAGGACTGGTTTAGAAGTAGAAGAAAAAAGAAAACATGAGATTTATAAAAATTAAAAAAAAAAGAAAAAAGAAAGAAAGAAAGAAAGAAAAAAGAAATAAAGAAAAGAAAGAAAGACAGACATATGATACAAAAGCAACAGAAGGACTGGTTTAGAAGTAGAGAAAAAAAGAAAACATGAGATAGCAAGTATAAACAAAAAAAAAATAAGAAAGAAAATAAAAAAAAAGAAAGAAAGAAAGAAAAAAAAGAAATAAAAGAAAAAAAAAATTTCAGACAGCAATATGATACAAAAGCAACAGAAGGACTGGTTTTGAAGTATAAAAAAAAAGAAAACATGAGATAAAATTAAACAAAAAAGGAGAAAGAAAGAAAAAAAGAAAAAAAAGAAAGAAAGAAAAAAAGAAAAAAAATAAATAAAGAAAGAAAAAAAAAAGACAGACATATGAACAAAAAGACAGAAACTGGTTTAGAAGTAAAAAAAAAAAAACATGAGAAAAAAAATAAAAAAAAAAAAGAAAGAAAGAAAAGAAAAAAGAAAGAAAGAAAAAAAAAAAAAAAAAAAAAGAAAAAGAAAACAGACATATGATACAAAAAACAGAAGGACTGGTTTAGAAGAGAGAAAAAAAAAAAATGATTAGCAAGTATAAATAAAAGAAAGAAAGAAAGAAAGAAAGAAAGAAAAGAGAAAGAAAGAAAAAAAATAAAAGAAAGAAAAAGAAAATACAGACATATGATACAAAAAGCAACAGAAGGACTGGTTTTTACAAGAAAAAAAGAAAAATGATATTTCCTAAAATAAACAAAAGAAAGAAAGATTTTTTTAAAGAAAAATGTTCATAAAAGAAAAAAAAAAAGCAAGAAAAGAAAGACATATATGATACAAAAGAAACAGAAGGACTGGTTTAGAAGTAGAGAAAAAAAGAAAAATGATGAGATAGCAAGGATATAAAAAAAGAAAGAAAAAAAAAAAAAAAAGAAAACGAAAGAAAGAAAAAAAAAAAAAAATAAAAAAGCAAGAAAGAAAGACAGACATATGATACAAAAAAGCAAAAGAAGGACTGGTTTAGAAGAGAAAAAAAAAAACATATATATAAAGAAAAAAAAAAAAAAGAAAGAAAGAAAGAAAGAAAGAAAGAAAGAAAGAAAGAAAAAAGAAATAAAGAAAGCAAGAAAGAAAGACAGACATATGATACAAAAGCAACAGAAGGACTGGTTTAGAAGTAGAGAAAAAAAGAAAACATGAGATAGCAAGTATAAACAAAAGAAAGAAAGAAAGAAAGAAAGAAAGAAAGAAAGAAAGAAAGAAAAAAGAAATAAAGAAAGCAAGAAAGAAAGACAGACATATGATACAAAAGCAACAGAAGGACTGGTTTAGAAGTAGAGAAAAAAAAAAAAACATTATCCAAAATATAAGGAAACAAAAAAAAAGAAAGAAAGAAAGAAAGAAAGAAAGAAAGAAAAAAGAAATAAAGAAAGCAAGAAAGAAAGACAGACATATGATACAAAAGCAACAGAAGGACTGGTTTAGAAGTAGAGAAAAAAAGAAAACATGAGATAGCAAGTATAAAAAAAAAAAAAGAAAAAATTTCAAGAAAGAAAAGAAAGAAAGAAAGAGTTTGAGAAAGAACAATGTCAAAGAAAAAAAGAAAACATGATTAAAACACCAACAAAAGAAAGAAAGAAAGTATAACTGGTAAGTTTTGTCAGAGAGTTCGGGATGTGAAGAGTGATAAGATGTAATCAGGGAGTGACTCTTGGATGTGGGTTGGTGGCAATAATGCGAGGTTAAATGTTCTTTATTAGTTGACACTGGACAGGTACAATTCTATAAACTGTGCCTGTCAAGCACAATTAGACTTTACACCAAACCTTTCAACTGTTCCCTTATCTCATGCCCCGACACAACCAATTCCAAGAACTCTCTTCACCTCAGTGAGACAACTCTCGCCAGAATAGGCTTTACAAGTCTTTCGCCAGAACTTTATTACAGTCTGTAGGGAGAGAATTTTTTTTCGAGAAGATTCCTCTGTCATTATGAAATTCATTTGGAATTTCTTCTTGAAATTATTTTTGAAATTCCATCTTTCTGAATCTTTTTTTCTGTCTTTTGTTGTTATTTTTTTCTTGCTAAAATTCTTATTTCTGAAGTTCTTTCTTCAGGAACTTCTTTTTGAAGTTGTTTCTCGCTTATTCGCTTGTTTTTTTATGCTTTTTCGAAGTACTTTCAAGCTGAACATATTTTAGTTTTCTGAAAATATTTTCTCTTTTTGAAGCTCTACGCCCTGTCTGCTGGGGCTGTAGAATACGTCGACTGCACCTCTGCAGAGAGGTAAGACCCCCCCTCCAATGGAGTTTCCCCGGTTATGACGATAAACTACATCCGCGTCCAGGGTAAGACAATAAACTACGTCTAACAGCAAGGCCTCTCATGAGGAGGTTTTGAGGAGTGTAGAACCACCTCTTAATTGCTGTTGTTCCCAGGTCTACCCTGACCCGGGGTGGTAGCACCTACTAGGGTTCCAGATGTGAGAAAATAGTTAACCCCGAAACTGAGGTCAAAAACATAAAAGTGTAAAAATAGGTTTTAATATCAGAAATACTTTCAAAGAAATTATTACCAGAAATAAAATTTTTGATAAAACAAAAAAAAACTATTACCGGCAATATGTTTTTGAAAAAAAATTTACCAGCAATACATATGATTGTACTCAAAAATATGAGGAATTGAAAAATGGTTTAAATATATATGTATACATAGACATCTTTTTTACCTAACTATCGCTATGTATCTATTTCAAAAATTTTGTTGGTATTAAATGACCCACTCAGGTTTTGATATGCCATAAAACAAAACAACCAACCAACCAAATATTTGAAGTTCTTTCCTTCTAAAGTTCTATTTTACTAAAGTTCTTTCTTCATGAAATTCTTTAGTATCTGTCTATATCTCTGAAATGAGGTATTATGTACACTATTTACATTATTCGGACTATTGTCCTCATCTTTGTTGCCATATTTATTACAACGTTTCGGCCTTTCAGTATCTGTCTATATTTCTGAGATGAGGTATTATGTACACTATTTACATTATTCGGAATATTGTCCTCATCTTTGTTGCCATATTTATTACAACGTTTCGGCCTTTCAGTATCTGTCTATATTTCTGAGATGAGGTATTATGTACACTATTTACATTATTCGGACTATTGTCCTCATCTTTGTTGCCATATTTATTACAACGTTTCGGCCTTTCAGTATCTGTCTATATTTCTGAGATGACGTATTATGTACACTATTTACATTATTCGGACTATTGTCCTCATCTTTGTTGCCATATTTATTACAACGTTTCGGCCTTTCAGTATCTGTCTATATTTCTGAGATGACGTATTATGTACACTATTTACATTATTCGGACTATTGTCCTCATCTTTGTTGCCATATTTATTACAATGTTTCAGATGTTGTACGCTCCAGCCTTCTTCAGGTGGTTGGAATGTCAAACTTTATTTTCCTCACTGGGGTAGCCTGTTCTAGTTCCACGTGCCGTGTCCAATGGATGTCAGTTATCAGTTATCTCCTGTTACTTCACCACTCCAAGTTCTCCACTGCCTTAACCATGTGTTGAAAGGTGTAAAACAAAATAAATGACTCTGATTCCACATTCGTCCTGCATTCCTTTTTTCACACTTGTTGCCTCTTCAGTATCTGTCTATATTTCAGAGATGAGTTATTATGTACACCATTTACATTGTTCGGACCATTGTCCTAATCTTTGTCGCCATGTTTATCACAACGTTTCGGCCCTTCAGTATCTGTCTATATTTCAGAGATTAGATATTATGTACACTATTTACATTTTTCGGACTATTGTCCTCATCTTTGTTGCCACATTTACCACATCGTTTCAGCCGTTGCACGTTCCGACCTTCTTCAGGTGGTTGGAATATCGAAAAATTATTAATTATTTCGCTCGCTGAGATAGAATGTTCTAGTTCCACGTGCCATGTCTAAGATGAGGAGAAGTGGAAAAATCAAGCGTGGTTGACCACATATGGAGAGAAAAGTGAGATCACCGCTTTTTTTGGGATTAGGTTGAAATCATAGGCAAAGAACATCCTTGGAAACTTCGTAAACTTAAGGAATTAGCACATATGATAGGCCACAAAAATCCCCTGACCAAGCATGGAAATAAATACAATGTGAGTACCAGTAATAAGGAGTGCCACAGAAAAGCAAAAAGTAAAAAAAAGAAAAACATGGAATGATAACAGCAAAAAGTGCAATATGAGCCCTGATAAAAATGGTTGCTGAAGACATTAATTTTATAAGTCCCAGAAATTCATGCACAGATGTCCTTAAGTAGACATGGCCCAGCGGATAAAGGTGTTGGTTAGATCCAATGACAGGACCCAAAGTGTAGTGAGTTCAATTCCTGGTTAAGGCTTTGGAGAACTTGGAGAGGGGAATTAACAGGAGATACCAGACATCCATGGAACTAGAACAGTCTACTCCAGCGAGAGAAATAAAGGGTTCAGTTCGACATTTCAACCCACTGAAGAAGGCCGGAGCGTACAACGGCCGAAACGTTGTGACAAATGAGGCAACAAAGATTAGAACAATAGTCCGAATAATGTAAATAGTATGAAATTCTTTTTGTTCTTTCCGAAATTGTTTGTTTCTTACATAGGTTCATTTTTTTTGTTTGCTTCTTGAAGTTCTTTTAAGGAGTTCTTTCCTGATAAAGTTCTTTTATCCTGAAGTCCCTTCTTCTTGAAGATCCTTTTGAAGTTCTTTCTAACTGGAGGTACCTTTTTTTTTCTTTTTTATATTGCTTTAAAGTTCTTTTGACATACTTCCTTTTTAATGTTCTTTTTTATTAGGTTGGTGCAAAAATAATGACGTAATAATGTCGTTTTTTGACGTTAAAAAATACATCAAAAAACGACATTATTACGTCATTATTTTTGCACCAACCTAATACTTAACTTCCACCTTTCTTCTTGCCTTCTTCAGTGGGGTAGTTCCATGAAAAAGCATTATATTTTTTATTTCTTTCTTTAACTAAGATGTCTTAGATTTTGATTAAAACTCGCCAACTGAATTATCAAAATCACATCTCTGAATAAAATATTCTCATACTTCATACCTTTTGATATATATATATATATATATATATATATATATATATATATATATATATATATATATATATATATATATATGTATTAATGTATATTTGGGCAGCAAACTTTCTTTTAAACGTCTTTCATTAAATATGGCAGATAAGGAAAATATTATTAATTTTTTATTTAGTTTTTACAACGTTCTTACATTTTTGCTTTTGGAGGCGGTGAAGAAGCACAAAAACTGTCCAAGCCGTCCATTGTCCTAAGCGCTTTGGTCACTTCTTTAGTCACTTTCAAGCAAAAAGTAAATTAGTAAAGTTAATGATATAAAATGGAGAAATCCCTTCGCAAACAAAATTTTAAAGATGCATTAACCAACAAATCAATCGATGAATGTTATGATCCTTGTTTTTAAAAATTATAAACTGTATAAGGTCTTTCTTTAATACGCAAGTACTTTCAACTGTACATTCAGTCATACTTTTTTAAAATAGTTACATAATCAAGATGTCGGCGTTCCACACTATTTCAAACGAAAAGTTTCTTTTTATTTGCCATGTCCTTTCAGGGCGTAGGCGATCATAGCTCTCCACCTCCCTCTATCCATTGCAACTCTTAATATATTCCTTCCCTCTGCTATCGCCCTCAGACCACAATCTGTCATCTACCTGCTCAATCCCACCAGGAATGCCACGCACTGCTTTCCCTTGCCTCTCTTTCCATCTGTTCGAACCGTATTAGATTGTCAAGACCCTCCTTCCTCATTATGTGTCCCAGAAACTTCAGAATCCTTCTGTAAAACCACATCACCGTTACCTCGAATCTCTTCTTCATCCTTGAGGAAATCTTCCTGCATTCGTTGCCGTTCTTTGTTACCTTGTTCCTTTGTTACCAAAGAAATCCTGCCAGCAATACTCTGGCCAGCTTTTGGAATGCGTCCTTGGCCATTCCAATACGTCTACGGACCTCTGTATCGCACTTACCGTCCTCTGTCATAAAGATTCCCAGTTCAGCCATTAAACAAAAATAGAAAGGGGTATAGGACACGTCTTCTCACCGAACCTGTTCAACCTATACAGCGAGGCATATCTGAGACAATTGGAAACCCTACCGGGATTTAACGTTGGCGGCCACAATCTCAACAACATAAGATACGCAGATGGCACAGTACTGATGTCAGACACGGAAATGAAATTACAAAATCTCCTACAAAAGGTAGCGACGGAGAGTGAGAAGAAAGGACTAAGTAAAATCTACAAGAAAACAGAATGCATGGTCGTCAGCAATAGTAAGAACCCAAAATGCGACTTGCTGGGCGAGAACACTAGAATCAAGAAGACCCGGAAGTTAAAATACCTGGGAAGCGTCTTGACAGAGGACGGTAAGTGCGACACTGAGATCCGTAAGGCTCACCAACAAAATTCCTTGAAGACGAAAGAGCACGCTAGACAAAATGTCGACCAGCGAATTCGTATTCAAACAGTTCGTTCCATTAAAGTTCGCATTAAAAAAAAAAAAAAACATTGGGAAAGGTGCAAATTCATCTCTTCTCCCTCTAGCTATGGGTTAAATAACAGCGTGGAACAAAACTCATTAATTTAAAAGCTGGCGTAGTACATATAATGTAGCATGGAGTTCTTTACTTAAGACCAAGTCATAGAGCAAATCATGTCCAGAACT